CATATGTAACAAATTTTATTTCTGATACCTACATGCAGAAGTTTCTTTGTTCTAGCCCCGAAAATGACGGCAACTCCAGCCATGGCATTGTAGCCATGTTTGTGACTTCGCTTACTCTAGCCTCCATCAAATATGGCAGTTATTGCTGGAATATCTTGAAAATATTCGTCATTTTCCTCTGCCAATGCACGCTTTTCCTGACCTGCTTTCACAAGTTCTTCATCAAGAAGGGACTTCCACATACATGTATGTCCAATCTCATTCTCAATTGAAAAGTACTTTTTTCAGTAATGCCTGGAGATCCTATACTTCCAAAACACTCATAGAGCGCACAGCAACCTCCTCCTGTTACCATGCTACCCCAAACTGAACGAACATTGATATCAACCATATTTGTATAACCAAACTTATCACTATTTTCCAGTTCAAATGTCTTACCACATCCTTGGCATTTGCAGGTGACGATGGTATAAAAACCATTCCTTATTTCACTTTCCAGGACAATAACATTGTCATTTGAAAGGGATTTCATGTCAGCTTCAGTGCAAAGAGCGGCATGTGAAGTTATTTCTAAAATGTGATCTTTCAGTTTATGCATGTTAATGATTCTACTACCTTCTAAATTATCTTTCAATGATGTAATATACAGTCTTTCTTTTTCTTTAACGAGCAAACATTTGAATTTTCTAGCTTTTGAATAATTATTTTACTAAGTGTAAATTTAAAACCTTGTTTTTTTCTGCCTAATATAGAATGGGTCCACATGTTTAAGATTCCTAAATTTTCTTCTCAATTTTTCATCTTTTATGACAATTTTCCTTCTATATTTCAAACTATGAATTCCAGTGGCCTTCTTAAAAACTTGCCTTTTCCCTTTCTTGTTTCTTTTGTTACCCATCCTGATGGATTAAAACTTTCTGGTGCCAATACAATATTTCCTTAAATTTCACACAATTTATCAAAGTATTAAATATTTCCAAATTAATGAATACACAGACACAACAATAAATAAATTCCATAAATTATATTTAAAAATCAAATTCCATGAATTTTGAGCACATCAGTACACCATAGCGCGTTACGTGTATGTCCACTTTCATTCATGTCATTTCACGCTTCATGAGTTTGAAAAATATTTTTGTAAAACAATATAAATTTCGGGCTTACTTACCTTCAAACCCTAATTATAATATTACAGTTGCAGAATTATTCAAAAGAAATAAAATACAATTCATAAAATTGTTTTTACAGGGCATCCGAGAACCTGTTCTTTTTGTTTACATTTTGTTGAATGAAAACGAAAGTTACTTATTTGTAAATGCTTAATCATCGTACAACTTGGCCGATCGGTATATTAATTTATGGAACAAAGAAAGTGAAGAAAGTACCAGTGTATAAATAATACTTAATACATCTTATCTTACCGGTAATAAGTTAAAATAAGTTGAAAAGAAGATTTTCCGCCACAACGTGTCTACATTTCCGCCATGTTTGATTACTTGCTACCCATTCTAACAAACTATAGCTATCGTTACGCGTACGACATTGGGGTAACCAAACGAAATCCAAATCCGCCCAATTGTACGGAATTAAAAGAACGTACGCGATTGTTCAAAGTTCCATGATATAATACGTGTATTTGAAATAAGTTTGTTATATTGATATTTTTCAACAAAGACGAAAACAAAATAATAAAAGAAATGTCAATTTCCTTAATATGCTCCAAAATTACCCAATCTTTCAGGTGAGGTCTACTTCAGTGTATGAATATTTTTTTACTTCCTTCCGTTATGCGGTCAATAGAAAGCCGAAACATGTAAATAAATACAAGAAAGATATTACTATGTCAGGTATAAAGCGATCGAATTGAAATTTTGTGTATTTAGGTATGGTCTATGAATATTTTTGTTCATGGGAATATTAATCAGTTTTATTTTTTTTTAAAAAGCGAAGCATAAAAAGAATATCCTTTGGGGAAAAACGACGAACAAACAGACAAATTTGATAAAATGGCGGGTCAAAAATATATGCCGAAGCACGTGAAAAGTTTGGAATATGTTAAGGAGGTAATTTAACCGAAATTTATCATTCGGGTGCACTAATTGATATATTGACTAAATGTTTATGAAAACATTTGTATCTAATACTTAGTAATTAAACCGAATTTTGACATAGCAGTATGTGTGACATTTTCAGTTTCAAACTTGTGCAACACTGTCATATTTTGATTTTTGAATAAATAAGTTACTCTATTGATGACATATCCCTATATATTTACTAAAATTAAACATTTTTTACTCAATACTCTTCTTTATTTTGCAATTCAGCAACTGACATTTAATGCTGAGGAGTATCACATTCACAAGTTTGATGTACCATAACTGAACTGTCCTTACCTTGCAAGTTTTAAGTGTACAGTAGGCCTACTTGAGAATCTGTTTTTCTTTTATTCTTTAAGCAAGTGATGATATCTACAAGTCATAACATACAATAAGCTGTGTTTTATTTAGAAAACAAAACACTTACCCATTTATAAGGTTATGATCTGTGAAATCTGATCCTTCTGTATCAAGAATATTCTTCGCATGGTTTTTGACAAAGCGCATTTACAAAATAACGGTGATATTCTACAGATGTCTCTCCACCAACTCTACTGTAACGTTTCACTTGTTAAAATTGTTAAATAATCTTAAATAATCATTTGTTGCATGTTTTTATCGTCTGCGTATTCCAGTTTGACCCAAAATTATTCACATTACAATAGCTTCCGTTGAAAACGGATGTGTACTTTTTGACTATTCAACAAAAAGATATTTTATACGCGAAAAGAACTCTAGGGTGCAAAGAACTAAATTTTATGAGAGTCATAATTACTTTTGTGATGCCCAAGGCCCTATCGTCGAAAGTAAGAATGAATCGAGAGAAAAATGGCGACCATTTTATTTCATTTTATTTAGAAAATAGACCACGTGACCAGATTTTATACTGTTAAAAATACTGTTACTTATGTAACAGTACAAAATTCTTAGTCACGTGGTACACTTGCATTAACAGTAAGAATAACTCCCAGAGGCCTATGGGAAATTAACATTACAAAAAAGTGAGAGGTAATAAAAAAGACTAATTAGAAGGGGAAAAAAACAGTTTAATTTAAAGATAGTCAACTTCTCATGAAAACCACTAGTGGAAATATAGTATATTGTGTTAAATGATCATAAAAACAGTATAAAATTTACATTTCAAATCATTTGCTTAACAGTGATTAACCTACTCTTGGAAATGTTCACAAAATGTTCTTCAAAAACTTCGGTTTTGTATAGAAATAACATACAATATTTCTTTTCAAATAAGAATATTGTCATATATGTTTTTTTCTTTTTTTTTACTTTTAGACAGAAAAGCAAAATAACTACGGAAGAGCATTAGTGCCAGGTGTATGTTTTTTATTAACTTACTTATCTCTAAATTTCGACTTACTAACTCGAAATTTCGACTTACTAACTCGAAATTTGGAGTTACTTATCTCGAAATTTCGAGTTACTAACTCGAAATTTCAACTTAGTAACTCGAAATTTCGACTGAGTTATTCGAAATTTCGACTGAGTTATTCGAAATTACGACTTACATTGCACGACTTTCATTGGTTGTCGGTGAAAGCAGGGATTGAATTCAAGATACTTTCTTTCGTGTGAAGCTGTTGCACATTGACAGAGCACCTTTAACATTTATTTAACAGAACCATTTAATAGGGTCAAATTCTCCACACATACAGAACATATCCTTCGCTTTTTGTGGAGGGAGTGGGGGGGGGGGGGGCCTGTAAAATCACACTTTCCACATTTCCGTGTTAACCGGATGTTTCTTTTTCTTAAGCACACATACAACCATCATGTGGAGAAACAACAAGTCCAAAACCTACCCTGTTGTAAACTGTGCAATATCATGTGTTAAATAAGTTTTAAATGGCGTGTATACGCCAGTTAGTCTGTCACGTTTCTTTATACTAATAATGTTTTTCTAACATTATTCATTATTTACTAATACTTTGATTCATATTGTGTTGATAAAAGTTGATAAAAGTGATACTTGTTGTCATATATATGTTGGGTTTAATATAAAAGCATCCGATTTTACAAGAAAGGCTCAGAAGAAGTCGGTCCAACAATTTTTACAAAGGCCTCAACACGCCCTATTTTGGTCACGCCGCGATACTTTCCTAAGATGTCCCACACTTGAAGTATAGGATCGTTTTTTTTAAAGGGATGAGAAGAATATGATTAGCGAAAAGATATGTTCGAACAGATGGGATACAATACAACGTGTGAAGAACGCCTGAACGTACAAATTAAAACAAGCCTTGTGTTTTTTTTAGGTCGGATGTGTACATGCCATTACCAAGTTTAAGTTAAATTTCAATAGTTTTTGTCCAGGCACCCGTTTCTCCATCTCCATCGTTCAAAGGCACTGCCTACTATATCTTATACCATCTAACTTTGACCATTCTTGTAATGTTAATCAGTCGAAATTTCGAGTTACTAAGTCGAAATTTCGAGATAAGTAACTCGAAATTTCGAGTTAGCAAGTCGAAATTTCGAGTTACTAAGTCGAAATTTCGGGTTAGTAAGACAAAATTTCGAGTTACTAACTCGAAATTTCGAGATAAGTAACTCGAAATTTCGAGATAAGTAACTCGAAATTTCGAGTTACTAAGTCGAAATTTCAAGATAAGTAACTCGAAATTTCGAGTTAGTAACTCGAAATTTCAGATAAGTAACTCGAAATTTCGAGTTAGTAAGTCGAAATTTCGAGATAAGTAAGTCGAAATTTCGAGTTAGTAACTCGAAATTTCGAGTTAATAAAAAACATACACCTGGCACTAATGCTCTTCCGTAAATAACACACATAAAACATTTTTTATTAAACTGTACGAACGTAATTTTTTCTTAAGACATGCTAATGATCATATTAAAATGCAGATACTTTTTTTCAGAAAGAAAGACGTACAGAATGGCAAAACAGGTAAAATTAACAATTGATTACTCATTGATAATTAATAAAACACATATTGATATTTAAAGTCAGGACAAATTTTGATGTACATTTTATATTAAGCATGTAAAGTCCAATGTTCAAAGCAATTTCGAGACCTTTATAGAAACTTATATATCGAATGCATAGATATGAGGAAATACGTGCATATCTATATCGGTATTCTCTTTGTGCATTTGCTTAAACGGAACCCTTTTTGCACATACACATGTCATATTCTGCTGACAAAACGTAGGCGACATACAGCAGTCTAGTAAATATTTAATCTTCTGAGAAAAGGTGGTAGGTCAAGAAGCAAAGAAGTATAACTCGGAACACTAGTATATATAAACCATGTCGTTCTTAGGAATTTGTCCATTCTTCAATTATTTCAATGCAGATCCACAATTGGCTATATAAAAATGCGATGTTTCGCCACACCCACTGCCTCGGCATGTTCTAACCTCAATTATGACTCACTGATATGATTTTCCATAATATACTTCTTTTGCACTCGAACACCATCTTTATCAGTAGAATGAACATTTACTAAATTGAAATGTATGTGGCATTCTTATTTACAACAAGGAATGACCTGCGTATGTGCAAAAAGGGTGCCGTTTTAGTACATTTCGCAAAGAGGATACTAATAGTCACCAGGCCTCTACATAAAGGATGGTCCGTTGGTCCGAGACCACCTGCTTTTGGCACGGCCCGCCATTGGTCTGTCAGACCACTTGAATTTTCTGGATAGTGAGACACATAGTGGAGAATGGTGATTTTGTAAAACAATGTTATATACTTGGTGTTTAAAATCATTTGTCCTTTTTACATGTATATGGTTCATTAATCTGTATAGTTAAAGCATTTCTTGAGCATCAATTTCTTTCATTTTTAGTTGCTAAAATTTTGTTTATGCAAATAAAAGTAATATTAATTTAGGTAGAAAATTCATATTGGATAATCTTGAATTTCAGATATGTGCAAACGAATGGAAATGGAAAAAAATCTAGTAATTCTTGGTTACTTATGTTTGTTTTAGCAATAAGAGATCCATTTCCTCCACAGTTAAATTAACTTAAAAGGAAAAGATATCTTATGCCAAAATAAATACCAACAAACAAAGGGCTTTTTGTCCCCCCCCCTCATTTTTGGGCCTCAATCAGTGAAAAAATGCCCTATTTAGGCCCCAAACACTGTTTTTCGTTTGAGAAATGTTGTTAAAAAAGTGACCAATTTCTCGGTGCCGCCCACATCCAAATGTTACATCAGGGGGTTGCCACATCCCCTTCTGTTTTGGTGGGGTTTGAAGGGGGCGGTAGTCTCCCTCATCGCCAAGAAAATTTGACCATGTGACAGGCTAAAGATAGAATTTTAACAAGGCAATAGATTGTAATATTGAAATTGATTTGCTACACTGATAGAACATCAAAAGATATATTTTATGTTCAAATTTGCCATCCGACTACGTTTATTTTTTAATTGGCGGGTTAGGGTTTGAATCACCTTTTGTGATAGCTCTAGTTTAAGGCGTTGATGTTAACGCGTTTTAATTGTATTGTCTTTATGTACTTTTATTATCATTTGCTTTACATAGATAATCAATCAGTCGTATATTGAGCTTTGAAGTGGAAAACAAGGAAACTAGAAAAAATTGTACTATGATAACAATATATTCATACTTATCATTGCAGAACCAGAAATTATTGGAACTTGTTGACTGCAATCTGTCTATACTAGAGGGAAATGAAAATAAACAGGTATGTAAACTTGATTTTAAGAAACTTCATCTTTAAAGCTTTATTTTACATTAAATTGAAGTCTGATATTGCAAAGAAAATGAATTGGATGGGGAAATGACATTTGACGTGAATGATACAATAATTAAGAAACACCCCATAAACCAACTTTAAAACAATGAGAGTAACACTAATATTTTTTATATAGAACTGTTGCAACAAATGACACATTTAGTATGAATGTAAAAATAGTGTAATTAATGTACGTACTTCATTTTTTTCAAATCTAAGAAAAGCATATGTTAGTGTTCATCCGTGCTGTTCTACAGAAAATAGAAACTTCGACGGTAGCAATAGCGACAAGAGAATGTTTCTTATCTCTGTAGAAAAGTTAAGGATGAATACTAGCATACTTAAGGTCAAGCTTATTTTTGCTTCATTTATATTCACTTTATTACGTCAAGACTATTTTTTACAAACGTCCTATGTAAAAAAGAAGGCGACTGTGAACGGATTTTGATATTATAGTATCTACTTTTGCTTTTCTATGAAAATTAACAAATAAATAAAAAATATGCCTAAATAAATATATAAAGACTGTCAAACTTTTTTTATCAGCTGAGCGGACCGATAACATTCTGAAGGATATTTATAGGAATTCCTGTGTGTCAAGCCGGTTATTATATAGTCATTAAAGTAAAATATGAAAATGAAAGCAAATATGGCAGAATCTAAATATTATTTTAATTCCTACATGTACTTCAACATTTATTCTTAGATGAGCATAATGCCAATCTGAGCACAGATTCGTTATGCTTAAAATATCGGTCCTTTCTTTCTGAAATGCTTCTTACAAAAATTAACTAAAAGTTTCAGTTTCTTAACTTATTCTATTTAAAATAAATTTTCTTATTTTATTATAAATTGCCTTCCATTTTATTTAGTTCCGCCCATTGTTTTCTCGTTTAGGGCATACGCTTTTTATTACTTGGGGACCATACGCCGCTTTTCATGGAATGGCACGGAAGTGTCACATTGAAGGTTTAATGATAACTGCCGTATGAACACATCTGCGGATGTTTCTAAATTCAAAACTTCATCATTTCATGTTTAAATGTTGAATTCTGCTTAAGCCGGTGCTAGGGGGCGTGGACGGTAGTTTGCACTTGACAGTACCGTCCACGAACAGGCTCAATCAAACCGAGCCTGCACTATTTTCAATTTTGGCGTGTTGGGCTTTCTTTAGGGATTCTTATTTTCTCTATTTTTACACTAATACGATTATGTAAGGAGAATGACTTGCTTTGATGTTATCTAATCTCAGGAAGGATTTAGTGATAAAATAAAACCATAACCAATTGCAAAGCTACTGAGGCAGATCAGCACGTCTGACAATATCCTTAGTTGGATATCTAGCACGGAATTGATTTGTTAACACTCTTTAGGTATTTTTATCTTTTTCTATCTCAAAAATCATATATACATTAAACAACAATTTCTAATCATTTTTAACATCCACAACAAACACGCAAAATTTATTAACCACTTATACAAAATATTTTTCACGTATAAGTATTTTATACGACTACCAAATATAATGCAATCCCCAAAACACTTTAACCCTTATCGATTAAGATCACCAGAATTAAATTCAACCAACGTCAGCAAGTTAACAAAACTCCCTTCAAAACAACAATATTCTCTTCTCTAAAAACAATAAAAGCAAAAACTTTGAGAGTGCCTTCTTTTAACTGATGTAAATTTCATCAAAATCTCGCATGATCATAAAATATTTGCTGTCTTAACGATTTTATATTTACAAGATGTTTAGAAATAACTGATGATATTTACACTACACCTCAAACAATGTTCAGCTGTAGAGAAAGATTTACTCGTTGAAAAAAGTATTAACATGTACTGTACACATGTATGATTGATTATTCTGACAGATTATTCTTCGTTTCGTTTTAGTGATTTATGATATTATTGTAAGGAACCATTCAATTTTAACTGTGTTATTAGCTGCACTCCTTTATTAACATTATTCAGCTACAAGCCCAAATTAAAGCATGAAAGTATTTCTAGTTATGGCAGATATAAAGGTCACAAATGAAGGGCTTCAAAAAGTGTGACATGATCGAAAACACGTCAACATAAACTCAGCATCTAGTATACCTTTCGCCAACCAGAAACAAAGAAAGACAAAAGACAATTACATCCAAAAATATCATTTTCTGTAACTGTTTTAGACTTCAAACTGGAAGTTTGAACATTTTTTTGCATGCTATTGATATAATCCGCACAGAGTATTCGGTATAACAAACATTAAATCGATAAATATATTTTTAGCCTTTGTTGTGGTGCATGTGTCATGTGTATTTGATAAAATTGTAAGATTTAGGTATCATTTTGGAATTTAGACTATCTACATGTGTATTGTATAATGTATTTCAAAGATGACTGGGAGAGATGCATCTAGCATTAGAGAAAGGTATTTTGATAAAGAAGGTCATCTGAATGAAAATGCCTTAGCGAAATTGAAAGCAAATACAAAAGTAAGTTCATTTTATTTTCGGCGGGTCTTTTATGTACATCATATAAAATTATAAAATGTTAATACTGAACCATTGGATTAAATTCGGAGATCATTTATTGGAAAAATCGATTTCATAATTGGACTGCGCAACACACATCAATTATATATTTGTATAATGGTGTTTCCTATTTGAATGTATGTGAATGTCCTCATCTCTTTAAAATTAGTAAAATAAGGAAGTGGAGTACGAAATACACAACTTCATGCTTACATGTAACAGATAAACATAATTAAATATATTTTATAAAGATGTATTAATTACCGCATACTAAGATGTTTGCTTCCACAAATTTCTCTTTAGTTTCTTCCGACTGCAGAGAAAGAAGACCATCTAAGAATAAGTTTACTTCTTGTATTCAGTAAAAATAATGCTTTTTAGCAACTGATAATGTGTACAAATAATTACAGTTTTTGTTAAGCGCTGCTATCATGCTTTTCATGCATAATAAACTCGAAAATAACCTATACAAAATTAACAACGTTTACTTATGACATTTGTTTTATTTAATAATGCTTTTGTTTCTTTTCACTTTAATAATGCAGTGTGAATTTTACTTCAGGAAATGAATAACATCCTTCAAGGAAATATCCCTACGCCGGAAAATAGCAAATCATCGAGTACGTTTAACGTTTTTATAGTTATATAACAAGATATCAACGACATCTATTATAAATCATTTATCTTTATTCTCAAATTTACAAAATTTGAACGCAAATGACTTTTTTTTTTACCTGATTTTTGATGTAGGTGTTTATCACTTCTTTATTCAACAGCTACAACCAAAGGTGTGATGAAATGTCAGCTGTATATTCCTGAAAAGTTAAATCATACTTCAGCAAATGCGTTTGGTAATTGTTTTATAAGGACGCTAAAGGATGCATCCATAAAATGTCAAGAGGCAAACATTTCCTCGCTTTCGAAAGAATTGCCATTACTTGTAACTTGCCCTTTGACTGGTCGGTTGAACCCTTGTGTTGAGCACGCACTACAAGGTTTCAAATGTAAGTTTACGGATTTTTGATAGAGTAATTAAAAGTTATAATAAATGATCCGGTTTTATATGATTAATTAATAGTTTGTACATATATAGGTTTTGCATAAGTATAGGGTTTGCATAAGTAATCTGACTTGAATTCAGTTATTTGTCAGGAAAACCTGGGGTAAAAAATGAAATTACTGCCATATTGATGTTTCATATCATATGTTGTTGAAACTTTCCTGCTGAACCATTCATGTGTTTTCATTGAATGGTATGTTCGAAATTCTAATTAATTAAACACTTATATAAAAGGAATTAGATCCATTCTTTTTATGTAGCGCTAAGTGGCCATTGTTGTTCTATTTAATCGTAGCTAATTTGAACACTTAAAAATTCTATTCTTACACGTTTTAAAATATTGTCATATAAAACAGACATATCGATCGAGTGTGTAATATGCAAAATACATAAAAACGAATGCTAATATACAACATTTCAGATATGGCGTTCATAATAAAATTGCCTCATTAAAAGTTTCACCGTAAATAAAAATATTTCTATAAGAATGCCAATTCGAAATGATCATCTTTCTTTAGTTTTAGCATGATTGTTGGTTATTACAATTTCCTATTACAGTTAAGACTGCCTGAGCGACCCCCAGATTTCAACGACTCCCTGTCTTATCCGATTTTGTTTCAGTCCTCCAAACGTATTTCCCTATATAAATGGTCTGAATTATCCCTGTCATATGAGACAAGCATCCCTAATTGTCTGATCCCAATGCATTGCTTTGTCTGCTTTAAACGACTTTCACACCTTATATTGTCCGTTTATCAGATAGATAATGCCTGTTTTAACACCCGAGGGCCTAAATAATGCTTGTAATTAAATATTGTATATTTCCTGCTGTTTCTTGTCCATCATATTTTTGTTTAAAATCGTTAAACAGTTCTATACAGTTTTATACCACAAAACTAAGCTACCTCGTTTCTATCAGTTCCTAGGTTATTGATCACTTTTATGCAATACTAGCTACAGCTTTTTGCCTATTATTTTTCTAGAAAGGGTTTAAAAAAGTGTTCAATAAGGTGGTACTGTTAACATTGCAATCAAATATACTGAATGTTTCTTTTTTATTTTCAGGGAAAATGCCATATAAAGTAATCATTATTAATCTTGGGACAGAAACGTCTTTGCCAGAGTTACCGTCAAGCATAAAAATTGAACCAAAGCCTGCTTATCAGAACGCTGAGTTCATCGATATGGCCTATAACGATGACAATGGAATATACGACTGTCCCATGAATAACGAAGCGTTGTTAAAAATAAAACAGTTTTTAGAAAGCAAAACCGCATGAATTAACAGATACTTTCATTTCAACGTAATCAAAGTTCAGTTAAATGTTTACACAAATGGCATATAAATGCACAACCTGTAGTTGTGATATAAGGTTATATAGTAATTATTTGGACCTTATGAAATTTGACAGCAAAATTGTTTTTGTCATTTTAATTGTTGTGAAAGTTAATGTTTTTGTCAGTAGGAAACTGCGTGAATAAGTTCAAGCCAATTAATTAACTAATTCCAGATACGACAACCTTAAATAACAAATCATTAAGTTTGGTGACGTAAATTATCATTATTTTCAATATTTTAAAGATGATTCGGCAAAATATAAAAAAACTCTTCAAATATTTGATCGTTTTATTCTTTATTCTTTCTTTAAACGAAGAATCAGCATACGTGTGAGGAAGCTATCCAGCAAGTATACGGAACGTAGGTGATTCAAATCAGGTGTCCGTTCGTACCTGAAATAATGCATCGAAGTGCACCTTAGGTTTCACCATCAGTAACGCACAAAAGTCGCCATGTATTTAAGAATGTTGGCACGACGTAAACCCTACCCCCTTATGATGAGTGTTTGGTAAGGTCTGTATTGTTCGACCCTCGAAAATTTACTTTGTCCAATTTCATTGTGTTTAGAAATGAATCCTGTTTCATTACATCTCTCATACCAGAATTTAAGTATCAGTTTTAAGCCGTTGTGAACTTGTGAAGCTTCATGCTTACTTAAAGATTTAGGAAAAATAAGCCAGCCAGTGTCATTTCGGATGCATACAATTTTTTATATTTCAATATTATGTTTTCTAAAATTCATTATTGTTGTTGTAGTCTTCCAAATCATTTCGTACATGCCGTGAACATTTATGGATAACTCTATTTCATTTTTATTGTTTATATTTAGAGAACTGATCGTAATGTTTAAATGTTGTGTGTAAAATATTTTTAAAGTTCTTGTAAATGAATGTTTTTAGGGGTTTTTTTGTAAACGTTTTGTACTTACATTTTGATAAACATTTATTTGTTTCATCCATCAAACACTTTCAATGACCTGATGCTTAACGATAAAAATATAATCTCTAGTATGTGTTCGTGGTGTTATTTTTGATAAATTACTGTAACCTACTTAGAAGTAAAAAGCGCATATTAGAATATCGAAGGGAATAAAAAAGTAGGTAAAATTTGTACATGAACATGACAAACATGGTTTAAACTGATTTTTCATATCTGACATGTCTGACGATACGGATAGAGAAAAAGTTGGCCTATCAACACATTTAAATTTTTCCATAATCCGTGATTCTTTCAACAACAACGTACAAAATAAACGGTTTTGAAACACAAGTCTTATATTGAAAGAAGTTATATTAAATTCACTGTCATTTTATCACAGTCTGTTTGTGTAGCTATTGCCTGTTTTGTGTCTTATTAGAATAGACAAAAGCTACAAGATATTCACATTTAAAAGTAGTATCGAATCCTGTTCTCACCATTGACTTTTGACATAAGGCAAACAAAAAACTAGCAATTAAGCTTAACATGAAATTTATAACGAAAAGAAGAGTCAAAGATATATGGAAGTTTCGGATATTTTGTATGGAAATTACATGCCAAATTTCTAGTTCTCGTGTATCTCCTAGATCGTCCTAGAACCGGTATATTAACCGTTTCTTTTAAGAGAATATTAGGGTGCAATATATGCTCATTTGTTTTACGATAACAAAATAAAATAGTAAAATAATAAAACTGACATCAATACCTAAGCTGTTAAGAAATCCCCCCCCCCCCGTAAATAAGTATGTTATATGTATAATAATAAAATCACGTCGTCCTTCTATCCGTCCGCCACAACTTAAAAATTCAATATCAAAATCTGAGTTATTAATGTTTGTCTTCTTAAGGCAAGCTTTTCAAAAAAGAATATTGGCATTTCACAATACGGATGTATTTAACAGCTCTGTGCATTAATGTTTATTTGGGGGCGTCCGTGGCCGAGTGGTTAAAGTCGTTGACTTCAAACCACTTGCCCCTCACCATTGTGGGTTCAAATCCCGACTGGGACTTTGAATTCTTTCATGTGAGGAAGCTATCCAGCTAGCTGACGGAACGTCGGTGGTTCTACTCAAGTACCCGTTCATGAATGAAATAATAAACGGAAGGGCACCTGAGGTCTTCCTCCACCAATAAAGCTGGAACGTCGCCATATGACCTATATTGTGTCGGTGTGAAGTAAAACCTAATAAAAATAAATAAAATAAATAAATGTTTATTTAAAATAAATGTGATTCATGACCATTTAAAACTATCAAATGATATTAAGTCATTTATGTTGTCATTTTGACTTTGGCACTAATAAGTACATGTACACGAAAGGTCTTGACCGATGAAAAAACTCATGACAGAGATAGTTGTTTTTCTGAACGTACATATGATTTTGATAATTATACTGAAGTAAACAAAAAGGATATTTCCTTAACAGAAAGCAATTGCCACAGCAGCATATATATTATCAATATCACAAATGAAAGGAAACTATTAAGAGATTGGAGATCGAAATAAAAAAGTTTCAAAACAAAGTAAAATTAGGATATAAGCATAAATTATCCAGGAACAACATATCTTAAATATCTTTTCACTTATTGGCAGGCATAAATAGATAACACATTCAATTGACAGATTGCTATGGACGATTCCCAACATGCGCTATGTAATCAGTTTATTGTTGTCTTATTTTCATACAGAAATATCAACGAAATATATAATATTTAAAGTTCGTTTCATTTCATCAAAATGAAAGAGAAGGTATCAACTTATGATATTTTATCAGAATTACGATCGTTATTTTATACTCCGAATATTCACTGCTCTTTACTTTTTTTAAACCGATGGAAGGAAGTTGAAGCTACTGGGCAGAAATACACATTCAAGAAGACAATTATTGATATTTAAAATTGTGTGCCCGCTTTGTATCTTTTGAACGTTGTATCTTTTGAACCACAGGTGCTTAAAACAAACTTTTTAAAGTTTTGAAAGGGCTATATATTATAATAAGATATAAGGTCTCCAACAGAACACAAACATCATGCTAAACAAACTAAAACACTGCTGCAAGAAACGACCAGATCACGGTTATCTCTTTCTGGCCGACAATCGAAAGGATCAATCCAAGCGTTAACGCTTTTTAATTCATTAAGATTCTTCAAATAGTAAAGAAATGAGTAAAAGTTTCACAAAATGCCAATATTTTCAATCCATGTCGTTTTCGACGTCCAATCTATTCATGTAATCGTGTTTGTATACATGAATGGTATGGACGTCGAAAACGACATGAATTGAAAATAATGGCATTTTGCAAAACTTTTCCCAATTTATTTGCTATTTGAGGGATTTCAATGAAATAAATAGCGTCAGCACTTCGATTGATGCTTTCAGATGGCGACCAGAAAGAGATAACCGTGATCTGGTCGTTTCTTGCATCAGTGTTGATGTTTGTTTCGCATGATGTTTTTGTTCCGTTGGGGGCCTTATATCTTTATATACATATATAGACCGATCATGTAAAATATTTGATTATGTGACTAGCGCCTGTGCTTTGAACGGATAAAAGAAAATTAAAACTATTTGGCAAACATATAACATATAATAATGTGCACAACGCAGGTCAAGCTTGTTCAGATTAAAATCGGACCTGCCCGGGGTCACTTGATAAGTAGAAACTTTTATAGAGCAATAATCAATATTTTCAGTATTATTGCATGAATTTACAAAGCCCGGCTTTCACTAATATTGTCAAACCGATATAAATCTCACAATCATTGTATTGACGTATACCTTAAAGAACTGGTCTCTAGAGGATCACGGAAATACTACCGTCTTACTAATATTTCAAAACCCCTCTTCGAAAACATTATATAGTTTAACCTTTTACCCCATGCCGTTTTCATTGAAAAGAAACTATGAAAAAATGCTTCAATTCTAATGAAACTTGGCACAAATGTTGACTGGACCATATCCTTTGTAACAGCTTGCTCAATCTTAAATTTCCTGTTACCATGACAACGGGGGACGTCTCAAAATTGTAAAAAATCACTATTTTCCGTTGTTTGTTTTTTTTCATCAAAACTGATTTCAAAGTGCTGCAACTTCTCAATGGATTGAGATAGAGTAAAAGGCTTTTCATCGTTGGTTACACGTTACCTTAGGATCAACCTGATGCCATTTTTAGCCTGTCATATGTCCAAAATTTTCTTGGCGATGAGGGGGACTGCCGCCCCCTTCAACCCCCCAAACAGAAGGGGGCATACTCACCTTCTGACAACCCCCTGATGTACCTTTATGATGGGGGGGGGGGGCGGCGCCAAAAAAGTGATCACTTTTTTCAACCACATTTTTCAAACGAAAAACGGTGTTTGGGGCCTAAATAGGGCATTTTTTCACTGTTTGAGGCCTCAAAAAATGGGGGGGGGGGCGGCAAAAAATCCTCAAAACCCACTTTTATGAGGTAAAAGGTTAAAGAAATCGAAATAACACTTTAACATGTTCATATTTAAACATTAGTACCTTAAAAATAATCAGTTTGCTTTTCCACCAACGGGAAATATCTTCTCAGGTCATTTAGGCCCAAAGACGACACAAAATTACCCAAGGCAGGATGTAAGAATTTCATAATATATTAAAGAAGGTATTTCCCGCCCGGGTGTCTTGATAAATAAAGACTTTATAGGGCAAAAATCAACATTTTAAATATTATTGCATGAATTAACAAAGCCCAGAGCCCACATATGTGGGACAAAGCATTACTGAGTATACACTAGAAGATCAGTGGTTTACCTGTATGGTGTTTGACATGCTAACGGTAAGTGGTTAAAATATCAGCGGTACTTTTCTGATTAACAGGAAATTACTTTAAGAAACACAACGACCTGCTACTGTTACCGGAATATTTTTGTCAGACAGAAACATTATCTGAATGAATGAATTAATGAATGAATGAGTTGGTGGAAATACAAAACAAGAAAAACAGTCACCCAAATCGTTATTCACTTAAATCAACATTTGCAGAGCGTCTTAAAAAGCATTATTTTCATAGTTATTACCATATATGTGATTATACAATTATTTTGAATTGTTACAGTCGAATTAATGGAAAGGTCGGTAGAGGATGTATGTTCTCTTCCAACAAGTCCAAAAACAATTACTTACAAGATACTGACGGCCCAAGTATAGAAGTTAGAGAAGCTGTGGGACGCGTATGACTGTCTTCGGAGTTTCTAAAGGAATTGAGTAAAGGGTACATATGTAACTGTGCTCATGTGTTGAAGTGACTATTAAGGAAATAGTGTCATGTTTTGCAAAGCAAAGTAAACTAGTGTCTCACTATTTCCTTTTAACAGTCCTGTGGTGTTTTATGACGTTCTTATTTTAACGTTCACTTTTATTTTGAAAATGTTATTTATAAAAATGGCTGCGCCTCGGGGCAATATACCAGTTCTCGGGTTGACAATATCCTCTATCACCCCAATAGCCATGTGTTGTTTACATGTATATAACATTATTACACATCCTAATTATGTTCATGCTAAAT